ATAGGAATAGGAGTGAAAGCTGTATTTGTAATGTAACAAAATACTACTATTATAGATGAAATAATTGTTGTCTGACATCTCTCCATAATTAATGTTTTTCATTATACTATATATCCATATTAACCTCTCGTCAACTGCTGGTTTTTCCTGTAGTGAGATATATCCTCTCATTTCTTTTAATATAAAAGTGGCCAAAAGATTCATTATCACTGTTTATTATCATTATTCCTAATGATATGATGAGGTATTATTCATGGCATTTTACTGCATGTCTGCTCAAGTAGACTGGGTTTTGCAGCAAGGTCCTGTTTAGAAACTGAATGAACCCAACAGTCATGTTTAATAAGTCTTATGTTCTGTCAGAAAAAGCAGCTTATTACTAATGAGATGTATTATGCTCTTTAATACCAAAATAAAACTCTATTTCTCAAGTATGCATGCCTGGGGCACAAATCTGACAAACGCTTAGGGAAGCAAAATGCTGTCCAAATGACAGTGATTAATAAAGACCAGTTGGGGGGGGTGTTGTTTCCATGTTCGTAAATACTGGCTTTGATATACTTATTTTTTGGAGTGACTCCAGTATGAGAAAAGAGTGTAAGCATGCTAGGGAGAGCTTCAGGGAACCAAGGAATATTCACTGAGTCTCTGCCTACTGGCTGAAATGCTGACATCTTACATGGTATGTTGCTGGAAACAAGAAGAAAGCTTTACTTAACTACCAAAATGATGCTTGGGTGTCTTCAGTTTCTTTAGCTGGGGTAGAAGCATAAATAATAATTATGTTGATCATTACATTTTGCATTTCATTTGCATAACATTTTAGCCTGGCTTCATACTATAGATATGGCCTTTACTCAACAACAATTTGTATCATTCCATTAACAACAATTTTCACTAGCTACACTATGGAACAAAAAACATAATTGCTTTGAATCTCTGCTGAGATACTAGTGGTAATACCTAAAACCTGGTATATAGAATGATCTTACCTAGCTTTCTCACACCTTGGTACAGTCACATCTACAGAACTGATTACCTTTACTGGTTTTGTGACAATCACATCTTTTTCCCTTGCTTTCCTCCACAGAAGTAGAAGTTCCTGCATAGCAGAAATCCCAATTGATTCAGAGATCCCAACACCAACTAGAAATTGATGTCTAGGGAAGTGAGTTCTATGCACAGAAAATTTTCTGAATAGTTTACTTTACCTTTCCTACTTCTGCTCCATTTTATTTAAAGCTGGCCTAAACACACCTGCCAGCTGTCCAGAAAACAAAGTAAAGCCTCCACCACAGAGGAGTCAAAATACAGGAGAAATATTTTGGGAGAAATACCCAGTGGGTGTAATTACTGATGATAATTATTTTCAGATTATTTCCATGCAAAAGGAAAAATTGCTACAGAAATTTAAAGAAACATTATATATTCTATAGCAGTTACCAAAAAATATAAAAAGTTAGAAAAATGCTATAATTTACTTCAAAATAATATGAATTTGCATAATTCTCTCCTATTTAATTCCTATACAGAAAATTCCACCTAAAATTGGAATTTTATGAAGATTTGTAACTTTTTGGGTTTTTTTCCTGTTTCCTAATTGTTTACAAACTATTCAAATATGTTTCCATATATTTTTAGCTATTTTGAATACAGATGGGGTTAAAGTTTGTCCTTGAGACTGTCCTTTTTTTTTTTTTTTGAAAAAATGCTCTTTTAACATTTATTTACCTTGTTATCTATAATCAGTATTATTATATTGACTGCTTTCAATATTTTTATTGAAATTAAAATAATTTTTAAAATAAAATAATTAAAACATACATCAATTTTTAAATGACTGGCTTTTCTCTTGACAAAATGGAAAAGAAACAGAATAATTATGTCTTTGCAACACAATTGCTGTAGCCAGACATTTGGGTTATGAGTTAATACACAACACATTGTCTGTAAGTGGCTTTATAGTGGAAAAAGAGGTTTAATACTCAAGAAAGGGAATAGAATTATTCTTGATCCAGTCAGGTATTGCCCAAAACAAAGCAGGATCTGACCTTTGGACTCAGGAAAGCAGAATGGGCATTGAATAAACTCTGGGGAAAGAGTAAGGAAGAGGTTGTACCTGTTTGGCTGCTTTTCATTGTTCCCAAATGAAGGAATTTTAATTGAGAAGTGCTGTTACACATTTTATGACATTATGAGTACATGCTCTGAAATCCCATGAGGCTTTGTTTAAATACAAATTAATCCTAAACTACACTTAATTAGCATTGCTATAGTTGATTTTGCCTTTTTTGCTGTAAGGAAGAATACAATATCTTAGACTTTTGCTTTCTTCAAATGTTAAAATATACGATGGAGGTGAAGAAGTGATTTCGGAGCTGAATGACTTCCTGGCAGGAGAGAATCTGACAGGATGGCATTTTACTAATTAAGAAGAGTGCTGGACTAACCAGATGGGAAAAATACATACTGAAACTTTTTTTCTTTCGTTAGTTCTTTTTTTTATTTTCCCACAATACAATTAGAAATAATCAAGGACAATGAAGGGCATGCAAAGAAGAACTGGTAAGGAAATTTGCTAGCATAAAATAAACCTACAGAAATCAGATAATAACCAAATAATCCTGCTTTAATAAGATCAAAAATTAAGTAGGAATCAGAAGCCACTGATGTGAGAAAGACATTTCTATGCTTCAGACCCATCTCTAATATAAATGCACAGTGTGATTTCTGACAAGTCAGTCAGAACTACACCTATACAGCTATTTTAGCTCCTAAATCTAGTATTTAGATATCATCATGATCCTTGAAAAAAATAAATGAAGGAGTTTAAGAGATTTTCCATCTCCTTTAGAGAAAGTGGAGATAACCACCCTAATGTTAGGAACAAAGTAAGAAATACACTTCAAAAAATTACAACATGTTAAATAACAGTAAGAAGGTTTTTCTAGGTAAATTAAACCCAACAAAGTTACCAAGTTACCAAAGAGAATGTTAAAAAAAAAAAAAAAAAAAAAAAAAAAAAAAAAAAAAAAAAAAAAAAAAAAAAAAAAAAAAAAAAAAAAAAAAAAAAAAAAAAAGGCAAAATCAGAAAAGTCAAAATGAGATAAGTAGCAATGCAAAAAAATCCTGTAATACATTCATAGCAAGACAAAGACAAAGGAAAGGGAGATCTGCTACTCAGTGGAGAAAAAATATTATTAGAGATTATGTCCAAAAAGTTCATACCTTTTATACTTTTCTTCACTAGGAGGATCACCCTCAATCAGCTGGCTAAAAAGTCTCGGAGACAAGGAAAGAGACCACAGGACAGGACAATGACTTAGATAAAGTATTTTCGAACCAGCTGAGCTCGGACAAATTCCTTTCAGGATACTTAGAGTACAGAATAAAGACATTTTGGAGTCATTAGCAGCAATCTTAGAGAACTTGTGGAGAACAGATGAGCTTCTAAAAGAATGAAAAAGGACAGATGTCATGTTTATCTTTAAGAGCAGAGAACAGAAGAAATCAGAAAATTACATACTGTTCTGTCTTTCTTCCTGAGAAAAATACTGGAGCAAATAATCAAAAAAGTTTCCTTAAAAGCTTACATTTTTGTCCTGTTTTACAGATATGAAACAGTCAGAATGTATTTGTTGAAAACTATGGTGGAAAGTCAGCTGGATCATGTTGTCCAGTTTGTTCACTGTACTTTGTGGAAAATGTGGTTCAACTGAAGAATAATTAGAGATTTAGAAAAAAAATCTGTAAGAAAGAACAGAAGGTCCCTTGGGAGGCTGTGAAATCTTTATCACCGATATAGATCTTCAAAACAGGCAAACATATGTTAGAAATGGTTTAGGTAAAGCTGATGCTGCCTTTGGCAAGGATGGTGTCTTCAGAGGGCTGTTCTAGGCACCAGTAAAGTAGAAAATCAGTCAGTAAAACTGATTGTCAAAAGCAGAAAAGTGGAATGACCTACTGCCTATTGTGCCAAAAAACATGTAAACAGTGTTAAAAGGAGACTGGAACACAAAGATTGTTGCAGACAAGAAAGAAATATAGCCTCTGTGATCTCTCCCAATTAGTCCATGCAAAATCTAATTCTCATCTCCAGGAGATGTGACTAGAAAGGATTCAGAACTACAGAGTATTACCCAGAGACAGCAGCTATACTTAAAACACTCCTTTTCAGCAAGCTCCACATTCTGTGTAGCAAAGTTATGTACCAGAGGCTGTAGCAGCTTCCATGAAGCTACTGGTACCCTAACCATAAACTCATTTTCTGATTCTTTTCTTTAGCTACTCTACCATCTGTCAACAAAGTAGGAAGGGATAGGTTGGAAGATATAAGTGTGTGAGGTTTAGGAGTGATAGAACAATACTTTATCTGTCCATTTCCTCTGAAATTCCAGGCCATAGTGTAGGTTGCATCTTTTAAAAGAGAGGTTTAGAGACAGCTGCCAGTTTGGTTGTACTTCAGAGTATGGACAGAAAGGTGAGGCCAGGCACCAAAGAAGGAGGTCCTCTGGTACTTTATTTCCTTACTCCCAACTAACCTGAAATATATGATTTTATCTTTCTTGGTTTTATCTCTCACATTAAGAGTTGCCTTTCTTTAATATTCTTTTTGCCTAATATCCTTTTGCAATCTAAAATGCAGTTGTTACTCACTGTTGCAGAAGTTAATTTTTCATTTCTGTGTAAATTCTCCCACTTGAATTAAGACACAATAAACTGATTGCAGTGCAATTTAAGAGCACTGGCAGGTATGTGATGACACTATGGCAATGGCTAAAGCCTGATCAAATAAGAGCATTTTCAAATGATACAAAAGCAGAAAATAATATGAGCAAAATGCCACTTTGATCATGTCATTCTAGACCCTTGGTGTGTACCTAAAGAAGTAAATTGATCATTAAAAATACAAATTCATTGCTTTTATAAGACTGGAATTATCCTGTCCTAATTGAGATGTCTGCTACAAGCCAAAATCTTCTTTCATCTTTTGCTTCCAGAAAGCCAACAATAAGTGGATACAATGCTAGAAGAGCAGGTGTGTTTTCACTCAGAGGAAGCAGCTACAGATAGGAAAATGTCTTAGCAGCTGATGTATCAGAAGACTGAAGCTGTGCCAGACAAAGTGAGTGTGTGTGTGTGTGTGTGCACATGCATTTTGCCACTAATTATGCAAAAAGGCCCAAACCCATTGATCATGTGCTTCTCTCCCTACTTCACCGGGAATAAATCTTGAAGTGTGACAGCTCTTCCAGAAAGTCAGAGTTATTACCATTGATGCAATTTCTGTGTTCGAACTGACAACACACAATGAATAATTTTTTCCTTATGTTTATATATATTCCTGTTTAATTAATGATAAGAACAAATATCATTGCAATAAGATGGTCTGAATTTTTATTATCTAACTTCTCTTAACTTCACAGATGAGAAGATTTTATTCAACCCAGCACAGTGTCAACACACGATGAGCTACACAGCACATGGCTTCAAGCTTTCTTTGCTTAGAGTTGGGAAAGATTTACCACAAAATTCAGCAGGCACAGCTGCTGATTTCTCCTTGGTGCATGCAGATATCAAAAAAATTTAGTTAAAGCTTGAGTAACCTGACTGCTCAATAACTGCTCCATTTTATTTGTTTTTATTTTTATTTTGTTTTGGTTTGGGGTTTTTTTTTTTTGTTTATTCAGTTATAGAACTTCACTGCAATGCTACACTTTAAGACTTACAGAAACATTCATCTGAGATTCTTGTTTTGTCTTGCCACTCTAAGTAGTCAATCTTAGACCCACCAAACTATCATAGGAAGATTGCGAGTAAAAATCAAGAAAAGTGCTTTGTTGAAGTCACAAAAACACATTTTCATTTATACAAAGATTTAAAAATTAAAATGAGGAGTTAGAACAACTATATATATTAAAAAAAAAAAATATGACAGAGATGTGAATAATTCCAAAACCTTTTTTTCTCTATAGTGGTTTTGTTAAAAGGTTACACAGGAGAAACAGGAGAAGAAGGTTACCTGTGTATTTATACAGACATACCTGCTGTTAAGCCTTGTGAGCAGTTATAATGATATTATGCAGCTGATCTGTTGGTCATCATAATTCAAGCAGAAACACAGTCAAATTATACAGAGCATCTTTGAGAAACCAGATAAAACTGATCACCTTTAAAAAACTTGCCCAAAGGTTTTATCTTTCAAATGGATACTCTCAAAATATTAAGAAATGTTTCTGAATGGATTTTCCAAGATCTTTTGGAGCTTCTGCAATAGCAATGTCCCCTACACTTCTACAGAATCCAGTCTTTTACAGGAAATTGCTTAATGCAGAGAAATTCCTACACATTTTTATCAGCATGAAGTCATTAACGTAAGAACATATGCCACATTGGTTCAGACCCATCTTCTCTTCAGCAGTGGCTAGAAATCAATGCCCTGGGAAGAATGAGAACAGGGCAAGCATATGTAATACTTCCTCAGAGTCTTCTCCCAGCTGCCAGCTATTTTCAGGTCAGAGAACTTCCTGAGATTGATGCTGCCTGTCTCCTTAGTTTCCCTCAGTGAATCTCTCAAGTATTTACTTGTCCAATCTCCCCCTGAACACCAAAATTTTCACATCCTGAGCAGTTTTGACAAGAAATTCCAGAGATATACTAACACAGGTCCATTAATGTAATGACTTTGCATGAACAGCTGTCTCTTCCTTCTCCCCAAACTTTGGAATTCTATGACACTACAGAAACAAAAATAATACTGCGGAGTCTGTGGTCTTGCTACATGACACAGCCCCCTTTTTTGTAGAAGAGGAAAAGAGGTCATAAGATTCCAGAAATTAAATATTTCAATTCAAATACATTTTCAATTCAAATACATTGATTTCTTCCACTCTTACTCCACACTGAAAACCTAAATAGAGGCTTGGGATCAAAAAACATTTAATAAATAGTACAAAGGTTCTGTTTATCAATCCTGTTTTCTTATATTAGATATTGTATATAATATAGTTCTATACAAATGAGCTATCAATTAATTAAATTTTAGCATGGAACAAAGGAAAAAGACCTATGTAATGTAGTTGATACCATAATATCTCACTTTTTCACATTGACAGATCTAGGGAATTAATGACTATATGTTAAATTTCCCGAATACTTGCCTCTATGGCAAAAAGGCACTCAAGCTAGAACATGAATTTTTCAAGGGTGTTTTCCCCACATTGTTCTACAGAACTCAATTTCAGTAGTTTGAGGGGAAGTGGGGAGAGACACAATTAGAATAAAACAGAGCTTAAGAGCCTGTCTAATAAAGTTCATTTGAAGCTTAACTAAGAATCAGTGGATTGGCTATTCTTCTCAAAGAAGCATTACACTCCTTGTCTTTTACTCCCTCTATATGTAACACAGGTTATATTCTATACAGAGGAATAACATTTGTTTTCTAAAGCTGTTGTAGTTTCTTTTGGTGTCATTATCATCACAGGTTTTTTCCTCACAATATATTAAAAAGTATGTATTCTATTTGTTCCAACAGTTGTATGTTAACCATTCCCATGCATACAGGGTTGCCTGTTCATGCACTGCTCCTTTTTTATGCAGGTTAGCCTTTCTCCAGGGTAGGGATCTTCCAGAAACCATTGACATCACTTACAGAAATAAAAAATGTTGCACTGGGTCCAAAACCAGTTTGCAGGCTGCCTCTGCTAAAGTCTCTGTTTCAAAGAATGACTGTCTGCACGCTGTTGCATTTAAGGAAGTTCTTCAGTTGGGTATTTCTCAGTGGAAGTTCCCAGCTAATATTAGTCATAAGCACAAAACCACATTTCATAATCCTGTTGATACTCCTCCAGGCAACATAAAGATTGCCTATACTGTTACCAAAGAGATGAGACAAGCAAATCCAAACTTTTTGTTCCTACACTTTTCTAATGAGTAAAATTAGATTTATCAACTTCAGCATTCAGACACATCGAAAAAGTATAAGACATTACTTTTATGTTGTTTATAGTGCTCCAAATCTATCTGTCTGCATTTTGATTAAATATCCTTTAGTTTCTGGTACCCACAAACTAATTTTGTCTGTTACAACCTATAGGTAAATTACATACTAAGGTTTACATAGGCTCATCAACTATTATTCTTGATGTTGGGAAAAAAATAATCAGCCTCAACTTCCTTCACGCTATGAAACGACAACATTTGGTCTAAATCCACAGTTCTCATTTTCTGACCAGGAAAGGCATTTCAAGATCAAAACATGCTTTTTATTTTGTTAAAGCAGCAAGAGACTAAAAGAACGGTGAAACACCCCAGAGCAACAGAGACTTCCAGCACCCCGCACACTCCTTTGGGACCACAGTCTCAAAGTTCTGGAAAAGGTTTAACATCTGACGTGAGCCACCTAGCGTCTGAACGAATGGCTACATTAAAAACTTGCAACAAACATTTTAACCTCTTTCTAGTAGAAGCCAATTTGCATTTATAAGCTTAGAGAATCATAAAAAGGAATCAGATGAAACCTTTGATGAACTCCAGCCCTTTGCCAGCTGCTCCAGCAGCAGCCTCTCCCGAAAGCAGTGAGTTCCTCCCCGGGCCCCACGCAGTGTAACCAAGAGCACAGTGTTAACTCATCAGCACAGACTGTTAAAATACCATTTCAGAAGTAATGTAAAAAAGCAAACTGTATATAGATGATGTAAGTATTTAAATACACTGATTGACCCACTGAGCACAAACTTGAATTTTCACAATAAAAAAAGTATCAACTTGCTAGTTCCCAATCACCAAAAAAAAAAAAAAAAAACAAACAAAAAAAATCCAAACAAAATCCCCTACCAAGAACAAAAAAACACCCCACTCTAAATTTCTAAACATAAGTAGTCAAAGTAAGACTTTCTCTGACTCTGAACACAAAGTAAAATAAAATATTAAAAACAGAAAGCCCTGCACCACCACTCCCAAAGCCCAGATAAGTGATTTGCAACTGCTTTTAAGATAACTAGATTCCTAAAATCCTAAATAATTTTTATATACACTGATAAGTGCTTCTTCTTTCAGCTGTCTTATGTGGACTACATACAGGAAAACAATCATGCCTTGACAATGACATAAAAGTGTGAAAGATTGATGTGGGGTAGAAATACAGAAAGCTGTTCCTGGAAAAGCTGTAGGGAAGGGAACACAGAGACAAAAGAGGAGAAAGTAAAAAAACAAAGAAAAAGAAAGCAAGATTAAGAAGAAAAGGACATAAAGTAATTTAGTAATTGAGCAAAGCAGAAAATACTCTAAAAGATCAGAGATCAATTTAGCTATGAAATAGAGGTTTTGTACTATTTTCATGGGTATTTTTCTTTTCTTCAATTTAGTTTATTCAAAGGTTGGAGGTCTCTAGGATTATCAAGATGGATTACTTTAAAGGTTGTAAAATATACCTTATTGTATTGGGGGAAGAAATCTAAAGAAAGAAGGCACTAAATAATGAAAAGAGAGGAAAAACCAGCTTCTCCCATGAGAAAGAATATTACTGTGAAAGAATATTACTGATAAAGCACTAAGACATTAATGCATGTTCTTTGAAAAGTCATGTGTGTAGACAGTTGTCAGTATTGAGTTGCTGAGATTGAGATCTTCACAGTAAATTTACATTAAGTACGTTCCAAGAATTAAATAAGCAATTTTTTCCCCTAAAACAACTAACATGCAATGGTAGTATTTCAGAGGTGGTATACATGTTCTGGCTATTTGAATTCAGGTAGCCATAATTTTAGTTGAGGCATGCTTAACCACCAGACAACACCCACTTGTGCTTTTCTGCATATTATCCCTTCTTAAATATAGCATAAGTTAAATTATATTGCATCTGAATTTAAGAAATTCAGGTTATGTTTCAGCTGAGATATCCATTATAATTTTAAGTGCACAACTACTTGCCAAAACTGACTAAAAATGTAACATGTAGAATTAAAAGAGAAACAATAGCCTTTTTTGCCCACACCCTAATTTATTTTTTAAGACCCCGTTGAATGAAACCTTAACTTGGACGTCTCAAGCACTGTCTCTGAAAAAGGAAATTGAATTCCCCTTTCTTGGAAATACGTTAAAAGAGCAAACTCTCTCTGAATCTTAATAATTCATTAGGACCTCACCTTAAGTTCTTAAAAATGGCCAAACAGGAAGTATATTGATAGGCTCATTCACCTCTCTGCCTGTAAGTCTCTTTAGCCTTAGTACAGGCCAAAACAGACCAAAAGAGAAGCTGAAGTCTCTGCAGGAAAGATAAATTATAATATAAATAATCTTCAAAAGAGCACAGAAAGCAACAGCTAGCTATTTCTGTGGCGATGTTTGAGCTCAATCCTCAGGATTCCAAGGGCAGCTGCCCAGGGTAGTAGGTAGGCTGTAATAGGTGGAATGCAAGTTCTGATCCATGAGTGAACAAACCAAAAAGCTCTGCCCTAGAAGAAACACCACAGCTCGGCTGCATGCATATGTTCACTGGGGTTCAGAGACAGATGAGATTAAATGAAAATCTGCAGTGCTTCTCTGCCGCTGGCTCTGTGATGGTATACTGGGCAAGTATGTACAAATGCCTCGTGTTCTCCCATCCTCCTACACACCTTCAGGGAAAAAAAAGCTGTATTTATACACGTGACCTAAAGAGAGAAGGGCTTGTAGCAGTAGCAAAATTAAAACCGTATGTTTCCACTATCATCTTACCTATAGTATTCATTGCCTACATTAAATAAACGCAGGCAGGGAAATGCCTCAGTAGTAACCTACAACAGAGAGAACTACCCTGAGCATGAAAAGTAAATATACTTTTATATACAAATGTAACTACTGTTATTTACAAATCACTCTTAAGTCATGGAAAGACAGAAATAGGAAAGTGCTGTGGACTTCGGGAGCAGCACAGAGGCTGCTTGAGCGGTCTTCCGCAGCCAGGCAGAAGAGGCACTGCCCGACAGCAGAGGCGAGCGGACCGGCTCCCATCCTCGCGCGGGGCGGACAAGGACGGCGCCGTCCCCGCGCGAACCCGGCACCTCCGGCGGCCGCCGCCCTGCCCTGCCCCGACCCGGGGCCGGCGCGGGCAGCGCCCCGTCACAGGGCGGGGAGAGGCACGGCAGGAAGTCGCTTCTGGTTCCTGGGTTAAGGCGCCCGGGCAGGAGCGAGCGCCCTTGCCGGGAGCGGCCGCGGGCTCCGTGAGGCGCTCGTAAGTCTGAGTCGTTTTGGAAACCACGCGCTCCTGGCGCTCCCGCGGGAGCGGCGGCGCTCGGCCCGGGGCCGCACGGCGCACCAGGGCATCCCGAGCCGGGCATCCCGACCGGGGCTGCCGGGCCGCGCTTCCGCCCCCCGCTCCCGGGGCTGCCGCTTCCCGCTCGGCCCGGCTCGGGAGCGGGGCCGGGGCCGCGTCGTTCGCGAGCGGAGGCGCTCCGGGAGCGGGGAATCGGGGGACGGGATCAGCGGGCTCGCTGCCGGGAGGCGATGGCCCGGGCGGGCGAGCGCAGGAGCAGGAAGAGGCGGCTGCCCCCGCGGGCAGCGGCGGCGCGGCGGGGGGAGCGGAGCCCAGCGCCCCGGGAATCGCCGTCCCGAGCCCTGAGCGCACGGCGGCTGCCCAGCTCTAACGCTGCTGCCGTGCCACGAGGGGCTCCTGCTGTGTTAACGACGCATCCGCCGTCGGGCAAAGCAGGAATTGTGTCTACTCAGAAAAAAACAAGGGAAAAAACAAAACACAAAAAAGTTCAATGAGCTCTCAGTATCTCACAAATGATTAACTCAACAGACTTCCAGTTCCCGAGATGATGGCAGTGTAACTTAGAAAATATAGCAATCGAAAATTCTGTTTTGAGAGCAGAAATATGTAGAGTACTTGTGGTTGGGTGGCACCTGTGTTCTCATCTCTCATGAAACTATGGGAGATAGGAAAGTGTATTATGAATTAATGTGCATATACACATGATTAGCTAAAACCTTTCATAATTTAAGGTGGTTTTTGAGGCGGTATGAAAACTAGTATGAAAACTAGTGAGCTGTGAGCTGGGATTGCAGCAGAAACATGTTGCTAATCTTTGTGTTGGAGCTTTTTTGGCATTTGACTAAGAAAATGCATATTACTACTCCTTTTCTTCCCACTACCTATATCAGCAAAATGTTTCTGATTTTAAGCAAGTATTTTAATATAAACTGCAGGTTTCATTTGTTGTTTACTTAGAAGTTTGTTTTACAACATTAGCTGTACCCAGTGATTATCCAGTATACAAGTCTTTACTCAAATATGAAATTCCACTTGTCATTGCCATAGCTCCAGCAGCATAGCACTCACAGGTGTTCAGACTTTCAGAACAACCTCTATAACTAATCTCTTCCTTTAATTCTGTCCCTGTTAAAGATCAGGATTGTCAGCTTTGAGCTGAATTATGTTCCAGCTGCAATTTAGGTACAGCATAACTAATCATAACTAATTTAAATAGCAGGGGTATTTGGGTTGGGGTTTTTTGGTTTGTTGGTTTTTGGGGGGTTTTTTTAGGGCTGTTGGGAGGGAGTTTTTTCCTCCTCATTGGATGCAGGGAGAAGGGTAAATGACAAGGAACAGTTGGCAAATTCCCTGATAAATATTGATGCCTATGGAGGAGAAGCAGGAAAATGAGCCAGTTTTTCTAACTGCAAGGAGTTCTGGATACGAGACAGATAACATAAGAAGCAGTTATTTATTCCAGCAGCAGGCAACCCGGGGTGTGACTACAGAGTAGTTTAATCCAATCTAAATCTAGACTGCGGCAGTCCTGCCCACGGCTAGTCGCATGTTCCCACTGCCTCCTTGTGCTGGTAGTAGTGCTCCAGCAGCCTTGCAGTGAGCTAGCTCCAGTTTTAATTTTGAGATTGGTTTTTTTAGGGGGTTTGTTGTTGCTTTTTTGAGGACGTAGGGAGCTACTTTGGTATACTCAACTGTGTAGCATAGAAGTACTGCTAGCGGTATCAGTAAGCAGCAAAAATGCATGGCCAGAGATGGGAAAAGCTGGCCTATCCTGCTCAGTGCAGACTTGTGACACTGTTACACAACTCTGACTTTGTGTTACAATTCAAAGCCAGTGCTGCTGTTGAGCACAGGAGTTCTGTGTGCCTATTGCTGAGTTCTGTCCCTGTACAGGCTTCCTTGTGTTATCGTGCCATTTGAAGTGGTCTGTGGATCTGACCTGCATTAAAATTAATGTGGAAAAAATATATTCAGTATTTAGTTTTAAACTACATTGGTTTACTGATACAGTTTACAGAAAGGTTTCTCATGCTGGAAGAAAGGGAAGGGTAAGGTCAAAGAAGAATATCTAGGGTATGGGGTGAATATAGGACCAATTCTTCTAGTTAAAATGCCATCTTAAAGTGTCACTAGTAGTGACTTTCAGTGACCTTTCTTTGCATGGAGTCTGAAGTTTAGGGAGCTACCAGTAAGTTATTTTTCCATACCAAGTAGAAAATCAGGCACTGTGCTATAGTTCTGCCTGTTGGATCAATTACTTTTGATACCATCAGTACAAATGACAGCAGCGCTCTTTGTTAATGTTCCCAGTCACAATGAATGACTAAAAGGCTGGAAATTAGGTATAAGTTTTAAATATTGTTGCTCAAATAGAGGTTTGAGTTTGCATGAATGAAATAAAAACTTTCATTTTCTGTGAACTGTGAGTCACATGGAGCTGATCCCTCTTCTCTCCATTAGAAGCTGAACATAGTTTCTTAGATCCCATTGCACTCATTTTTTGAAGTTATCTCATATGTATAGGACATGCCATTTACTAGGTAAGTTGTTAACAGTGGAGGATTTCAGAAGAGTACAAAATCAATACTGATGCAAACTTCACGAGCTTTTAAAGATTGTGAGAACACACTTCCAGTCACTTTCAGCTATAACAATGCCCTCTGCAGTTTAGCACCTGTCCCTCAAGGCAGATACCTTATTTTATTAATTGAATTACACAGAACAGTCCTTCATCTGAAAAGGAAAGAAAGCCTACCCATTTCATTAAAGATATGCCCTAGATATGAGCATGAATATTCTGTTTATTGAAGGGATACTGTTTGGGGGAGGAAGGAGATGGATGAAGTAGCCTGTGGTACTAACAATGCTTTGAGACGCTATGTGTTGTCGGGGGTTATGAGCTACTGAACACACTACTGGTGTTTAGTAAAACAAGTCAAAACTATAAATAAAGCTTTTTCATGTGAAACAATGTAGGCCTTCTTTGCAAAACTTATAAACTTGGATTTCAGTAACATTTATGATATCAAAAGATCCCTAAAAAGTTCCAAGTTGCTAAAGAATTCGCTTTGCTGCTATTGAAGTACAGCCATGCCAGAGGTGAGATACAATTGCTTTTCCTCTCAGAACATATCGGTAAAATAAAATTTGCAGGACAAAAAAGTGTGATGTCCAAAGAGTACTCTGTTGAACCTTATAGAAAAGTCAGACCACATTTCTGTATTCAAGCCGTATGATAGGGAATCTATTCAAAAGCAAGGAAACATTAACAAAATCTTCAAGCTATAATCTTCATAATTTTGAGCAGTGTCCAAGGCAAGTTGCCCTTATACTCTTCTTGCTGGTCTTATCCTCATGTGACTTTCTTTTGTAGTATTTGTGGTTTATGCATAATCCCAGGAGATCGTAAGACATGATAGTGACAGTCCACAGTGCCTTAAATACCAGGATAAATGAAATAGCTAATTTATTTTTGCCATGGGGCGGGGTGGGGGTTGAGAGTTCATTAACTTGTTCTCTACTGTATTTGTATTATGCTAAATTTTTGATCTTAAAATTAATATAATATATTACTATAGAAGCAAATTACCTGTGTTTGCAAAGTTCTTGAAATTGGAGTCTGATATTTAATTGTGTTCTAGTCTTATGTGTCAAAGTTCATGAGCTGTAGTTTTGGGAGTTGTTACTGAAATTGTACACAAAGTTTAAAAAGTTCATAATATTGCGTGAAAATGTCCAAGTCTTGATAATTCATACTGGTTAGTATCACTGATTTTTAGGTAATTTTTTTTTTAATCTACCTTAGGGTAGCTTGTGTTGATATTTTCAAATTTGGCACAGAATAGGATAGGTTTGTGTGACCTAATTGAATTTTTATATCTTTATTTCTTAATGCTGATGGGAAAGATGTGCTAATGTCCTTACAAACAATTCTATGGGTGAGGGTATGGGTGTTAAGAGCTTTGAAATGAATCTTAATGTCTTAACCAACTTCAAGCAGCAAGTTTGTTGCACGGCCAAGACAGTTTGACTCCTGAAACAGACAAATGGGTCCTTAGAAGCTGAAGTTTCTGAACTTTGGGGTAAGATGAGAGGTTCAAGGGGGAATATGTGGTAGGCAGTCTGGGAAGGTGGTATCTCCCTAGTACCTCAGCCAATGGGGAAACAAAGAGGGCAAGATAAAATTGGGAGTTTAGGATAAAAGAGGCTGTGCCTCCAAAAAGAGAGAAAACCCCACGAGTGTGTGCCCCAGGGGACTTGCCCCAGGGGACTCCCTCCCTTTATTCAAATAAAGTTGCAGGAGTCCTCTGTCTCTGGGCACTGGCTTTTCATAGTGTGATTTTTCCACACAATGCCAAAAGCTGAGTTTAGCTTTGGTCATGAATGTTGTCTTTATTTCACAATAATGCAATGTTAAACTTCTTTAAACATAAAATCGGGTAACTGTTAATCTGCACCAATTTTAAGTCTTAGTCTTAAATACTTTAACTACAGGTACATTTACACATTCTATACATCCAAAATTGGATTAAGAGTTAAGCTGCTTTTGTTTGTCTTTTTTTTAAACCTATCCCTGGACGTGAAATTAAATGTTGAGGTGAACAGAGCTGTAGTTCAAGCTGTGTTGTTAATGGTCAAACATACTGCACATATCAGTTGAATACAGTGGTGGTACAAGTCATGCTATGTATATATTTCGTTATATACTGCTGCTTCTTAATGTTCTCTCTTTTTCCTTCTGATTGCATTTCAGGCCTGTTAACTTGACCATCTTTCCAGTGATGAAACAACATTGGGAATTATGGACAAAAACATTGGCGAGCAGCTTAACAAAGCTTACGAAGCCTATCGACAAGCATGCATGGATAGGGACCATGCTGTGAAAGAACTACAGCAAAAAGTAAGTGTTGGAATCTGAATTCTATCTTTAAAGCATCCTTCCCTGGAGGATGGTAGTACGTGTAGATACCAGTTTCACTTTAGCTATGCACACTTTAGTGCATCTGTTAAAGTTGGAAATTGCCATTATGAAACCATGCCAGTACACTGCAAAGTAACTCATTAGGCTTTGAATTTAGTAGGTGGGTTTCTAGCTTTTGACCTTGTATTTTTATTAGTTTTAAAGGTTGGAAAAGTATTGTCTGTTTTGGAGAATTAATGAAGTCTTCTAATGTAAACACAGCAAAGATTTATATAAAATTTATCTAACTTCAACAAAGTACTTTTTGGAATTTAATTTGCATTCTTAGAAATTAATTTTTCTATTTTTAATATAAATAGCTTAAATTAAACAATATTAGTGACAAATGTACATGAAAGTTGATAGAATAAGTATTCCTCTTTTAAAAATAACTGGTACATTTATTTTTTACTTAAATAAGAGGAAGTTTCTGGAGGCTCTGACCAGTAAGAATCACCTTGGAAGTTTTAGTTCGTCTGTTGCAGAAAACATTCATTCAGTAAAAACTCCTCTAGAACTTCTCAAGTAGGACAGCGCATTTCAAGGCTGTCAGGTTTGGGCTTTGTCATAGTCTTTTTACCATGCATATTCTGCCCAGCAGAATATGTTACAGTAAGGCTTGAATGTTTTTGTTGCTACAGGACGTTCTAATACTCAGTAGACCTGGTAGGCTGGGACTTTTTTCGGGGGCTGATGAACCATATTCCATGCCAAGTTATGGAGCAGTAGTAGAATTGGAAGCAGGGAAGGATCTAATAGAGAATATTGTGATATCTGGGCCCAATCTTGCTATCTCCTTGCATGGCAAAATGAACTAGCCAAGGCATCACAGAACAAACACATTTCAAGTCAGTCATGTGGGCAATCATCCACTGTGCAGTCTGTCTCTATTCATAGCCTTGCAGCAGTGCTGGTGTAAATCTGTAGAGATTTCTTTACATAACAAGCATAAGTAGTGTGATTTTTGTGCTGAAATTGCAACTAATTAACAAAGGCAATACATTTTAGAATGTTTAGGGATCTTTTAAATTCTGTCTCTTAGGATGAGCTATGAACTATTTGAAGGAAAGCCAGTTAAGTTAATACTCCTAAATCATCTAAAAGTACATGAAAGAATCTTCTAACCAAGAAACAAGGCATCAAGTACAAGATGAGATAGTACTTCCAAGGTCTATGCAAGAAAGCCAAAGAGGTGTGAGATGATCAGTGCTAAGTGAACTAAATGCTTGCCAGATTGGTCTCTGCATTTTCACTGGTTCAGAAATTTAAAAATTTAAGTCTTTGATAAAGGATTATTACCAGTTTAAATCTTTGTCCTAATCAAACTTTCAGTAGTTGAATTTTGTGATTTCAAAAGAGAACAAAAGTATTTTGTCAAGAGGAGTTGATACTAAAATTACTTGGGTTTTATTATTTGTGTTGCTTTTTTTGAATCAAACTCTGCTGTTTTTTGAATGACCTTTGTATAGTGCTTTACTCTAGTAACTTCCTCTGTTCACTGTGTGGCCTCCACACACTGTTGGATTGTCCACCATGCTGTTGTTAACAGTTTACTACTTAAGTTACCGATAGGCCACTTGTTTTGCCAGTCTCTAGAGCTGGGAGCCATGTCAAGCACACAGAAGCCAGAGTCATCTCGGCCAGATGGTGTTTGATACAGATGGATGGTTGGTTGTCATGCAGATCTTCTAGTTGGTAACTTGTTGCTGCCATCTGACTCAAGGAATAATTTGTGCACACTGGCTGTCAAAAGCATCTTCTCTTCTGTCTGTTTTAGCTGTCATGTCTGTGCTCTGTACAGAAGTGTTGACAAGACATTGCTGTTGTACATTTTCAATTTGGTTCTCAGTGATTTTTCTGCTTCATGAGGTCTCTTATAGCTGCTGGAGTGTACTGCTCTTTGATCACTTTTTTTTTTTTTTTTAACACAACAAAAAAATCATCTCATAGTACAACTACTACCTGGCCTTTTAAAATCAATTTTGCTTATAGATTTTTTTCCTGCCTGCTTTACAGACAAACACAGTGGACAGTAGGAGGGTATAGAATTTAAATGTGTCTGAGATTTGAGAATTAGATAGCACTATGGCTAAACTATGAATAGATGCGAAAACAATGCTGAGTCTTGTCCCAGATGGTGGCAGGTGGTGACCTGTTCAGTAATAGACATATTCTTAATTTCAGAAAAATTCAGTGCATTCCTGAAAGTTTTCTTGTTGGGATTTCACAAGTTTTCTTGCTTGTTTTAGCACTGCTGTAACTGCAGCATTAGGCATGTGCTAATGAAATAATAGTTTTGAATATTAGCATCTTCCTGCCACCTGGCCGTTCATTCAATTCATGGACTGTCTAACAAAATTTCCAGTTTGATGAAATACAAGCAGCATTATTAATTACATTACATTACAAGCAGTGTGGCCTGTTTATACCATGAGTTGTAATACTGGAGACAAAGAATGGGGCTTTTTGCTTACCTTCCTCCCCAGCCCCATTATATAGGTTAGAAAAACTAGTCCACTGCATTCAAAGAAATGTACAAAACTGTTCATAGACAGTCAAAATGGTTTACAGAGTATCTGTTATATGGAATAAACAATGTTGTTGTTTTCCATTTAAAATCTTATCTTTTTAAAAGCCTATATTTATATTATTTGTTAGAAAATATGGGGGGAAATTACTTTTTTCTATAGATAAACTGACAAGCATTCTGAAGAATACTAAAATTTGAATTTGAGCCCAATGCATTCTACATCTGTAAATGAAGAATCCTAACTTTAAAGCTACCGTTTACAACTGTCACACCTGAGTTATTAAAACTCAGGGGTTATTTCCTATTTCCTTTTCTAATCAGTACAGTCCTACAAAGATGGACTTGCCAAAGCTTTTTACACAGACGACCACAGCTACTGTTACCTTTAAAAATCAGAGCTGCTTTTTATATGCCAAACAGGAGACCCCTAGTCAAAATAGAATAAGATTAATGCTAATTAAATTATATTTGCAGACAGAAAACTACACGCAGCAAATACGTGAACAGCAGGAAAAGATAGAGCTTCAAAACAGCATTATTGCAAAACTGAAATCACAGTTGGCTGCTCTTAATGCTAATAGAGGTATGTACTCCAGTTTGCACATGATTGCTTTTTATGCTGTGTTGCACTGATGAATAGTTCTGACTTTGTTGCTTCAGTTTTTACAATATACATATTTCAAATGAGTATCATACTTTCCTGTGAATGTGAGAGTTAACACAAATGTGCTGTTTCAAGATCTATTTATAAAATTCAACACTTCTGGGGTCTCTCTTTATCCTCTGCAAGAAATCGTGAGATTTTCTATAGAGGTAGAATCTGCTTACACTGAAGCCAATGAAAGTTACAAAAATATGGGTTCAAATCATTCACTAGAATTTTTTTATAATTATTACAAAATTATTTTTACACTTACCTCTTAATAAGTTTTTCTCAGGTTGTTCTAGATGTGAGTGCTATGATTATATGTCTTTTATGTTAGATGAGTCTTGTGATACTAATCTTACTGCATAACCAGAACTTTATAAGCAGGTAATTCTTTTTCAGATCAAATAGTCATTGATGGATAATTTTTCACTGTTTGACTGTATTACACAAATAAGAGAAAAGAGTCAAAGTAACCATGTGTTAATCTGCCATGCTCATTAAATATTTATTCACACTAGCCTAACACTCCTGGTTTTCATAAATACTAGCAAAGACTTTTATTCCTAAGAGTACATGTACATTTCTTTATTGCCGATTTAGTCTTGCATTGTCTCTAAGCACAGATTTTAGCATCTCTTGCTTGTTTAATGTGAAGGCAAAGAACAAAAATAAGTTAATGTAAGCTTCTTTTAATTTTGCATGTACTTAGAAGTTGACTGTGAAAAATGCAGCGATAGTCAGTGGCTTTTTTTTTTTTTTTAATTTAAGGCAATGCACATCCTTACATTCTGATGCATGAAGACATTGAAACATCCAACTTACCTTTCAGGCAGCTCTCTGAAAAACTGAACATAGCAAAGCAAAGAGAAAAACTCCTAAAGGTATGTCAGCAAAGAGAAAAACTCCTAAAGGTATGTCACCTGCAGTGAGTTCACTTTTGTGCTGAGTTTATACTTTGAAAACCTAAAAGACAAGTGTGATTTTTATGGGTGCCTTTCAATGGAACAGGAAATACCATCTCGCGCATTAATCCCGACCCTGGCAGAAAGAAGATAAGATGCCACACATGAAGTGTGCCACATGCAGTTGTGCTACTGCAGCCTGTTTAGGTGAACTAAGCATTATCTTTAGTCCTTCCCAGTGAAATCTCTGTCTGGCCATCAAGCCCTCCAGAACAGTTTTGATCAAAGCAGAAACTTAGTTGCTTATTTATTTCTTAACTTGACAAAACGCTAAAAAGGGTTTTTTCTTTCTTACAAAAGCATTTCACATTGCAAATGGTCTCTGTATTTTTGCAAGAAATGGAGAATCTGCACTCAGAAAGTGGTGGACCGGGAAGTGAAGCTCCAGAGATGCTGATTTGTTTGGGTTTTTTAAATAGCCAGTATTAAGATTAATTCTCTTCCGCCTCTCCGAATTGAAGTAACATTAAGATTTTCACTACAGCCTATTGAGTGTAACAGGAATGAGAATAAAGTCATAGCCCAGAATAGCTGGGAAATACCTTGAATGAATTTTACATACTAAGAAAAGACAGTGACAGAGATGCACAAAGTTGCATTGTTCTTATTGTAAATCATCCTACTGTGGTTTTTGAGAGTTACCTTGTAACAGAAAGTCTCTTTATTTTTGAATGTGAATCTCCATAGCTCCATAGAAGAGACTTTGTAAGGGTCTTAAAAAGACCCTTGTGAGGCATTAGAATTAAAAAGAATAAATTTCAGGATTTATTTCCTAAGCTACAAACAAATTAATTGTGATAAATAAACAGAAACACATTTTTATCAGAAATGCAATTCCATTAGAAAAAAAATAATTTCATTGGATTACTGGTGCTTGCTTAGTTATCCTGAAGGAATCTTATATGAGACTAAGTCTTTGCAAACATTTTAAACATACTGTCAGCAAATATTCCTATACACTCCCTTTCTATTTAAAATAAAGTCTTTATATAATTTTTCTACTCTGGGATCTGTAATTATAAGATGTCATTTCTTTTTTAATCTTTGCACTTACTTGGATTAAAACATAGCTGGAGAGTTAATTCTTTGATGGAACATCTTTGCATATTTTTGCAGTTTGCTCTCTTGAGCTGGATAAAAATTATATCTTATGGTTGCACATGAAGATCTGACCAAGTCTAGTATTTCATAGCCTTCTTTCAGAATGCTTACTAAAGAACAATAGTTTTAAGCAACTTAGACATATAATGAGTTAGGAATGAAAGGAAGCTGTGTTACCTGCTCACCTTATGGGGAAACACTGAAATAATGTGATCTCTAGAGGTTATAAGCAATGCATGAGAAGCTGGAATCATTATTTCTGGAGCTATTTTCCTAATGGAATGTAGGTTATTTTCTTTATCTGCATATTTGTTTTGTGTAGCCCATTACTTCAGTTACCTCTCAGCAACAGGTATTTCATCTGGATTTTGCTTCTTCTATTCCATGAACAGAAATATTACTGAAATACCTCCATGCAGAATGAACTATATAAGTCTGTCTGCATGATGGTGCATTTAAACCCAGGCACATTGCTATTCAAATGAGGTCTTTTTAGAGGGGATGTGTAGAGATTTAAACCTGTGCAAAGTTGGGTTGATCCAGCCTATTCTCTGTTCCTGTAACTGGGAAAAAGCATGGAGCTTGAGAAAGTATGTTCGACTGGACAAAGGCTGCCTTCTGCAGAGGCACATGGATATATTTGCAGTATCCTTCCAATGCAAGGAGGACTCTGATGTTTGTTATTGTGTCTGGTAAACTTGCACTGATCTGGCAAGAATGATACAAAAATGTCCAGACAGCACAGCAGAGGCACACACACTTGTACTAGCTCTGGCTGTGTCTCGGCCATGCAATTCATGGCCACGAGTGAAGACATACAGCAGTGTCTGCACAAGTTATCATTTTATTGAATAAAAAAAACCTCAGTAAGGCAGTGGAATTCATGCTTCAAGGGAAAATTGGACAACTCTGTGGAAGAGACATCTGTTGAGAGTTAATAAATAGATGGAAACTATTACTAAGAAGATCTGGGAATTTATTAACAGATATATAATGAATGTCTCTTGTTTTCTTGTACTTTTTTTCCCCCAGATGTCATATTTTGACATCTCTTAAACTGAAAATCCACCATCCTGTCACCAACCCAGTATTCTTTTACATAATTCAATAAAGTATTGGCTTTTTCAGGTATTGAAATTTGGAAGTTTGAATATTCTATTTGAAAGCCTGTATTTTTTTAATCATATTCTATCCACAATCTGCTCTAAACCAAATAAATTTTTCCTACAGTCATTGTCCTCTACACTGTCCTTGAAATTCAGAGTTTCTCCCATGGCCTAAAATGCTTGGGTTTATTGTAACCTTTTGAAACTGTCATTTGCTAAGTCCAGTGGGATTTTTAGTGGACAGTATTCTGTCCTTCAGTAAAGTTAATAGAAACCCTAAATTTATTGTAATAGGTGCATGATTAGAGCTTGAATTTTAGAGGTTTAAAATGAGGGAGGAGCTATCTTTTCTTTGTTTTCTAGTAGGTGGCCATAAGTGTGTATTTTCTATGCTATTGTCAAGGTCTGTTGCCTGTGTGTCATAAAACACTTTGGGATTTTGTTGTTCACATTTGTCTTCACTGAAAGAAGTGAGTGGGCCAGATTGGCTTGGTGGTCAGTACCCAACTATATACAACATTACCAGAATTTTTCAGCCCTCTGCTTGAGAAGACCAAATGTGCCTGTATTGCTGCCTAGTTTTGGGACCTGGCTAAACTTTATTAAGTAGGAAGAACTGGGATCCAGCCACTGTCTCAGAGCCAAAGCTGTGCAGCAAACCAAAAACCTTAGAGATGAGACAATGTCAAGCTTCTACTTTTCCATACAATCAGCCATCAGAATCCTTGTGAACTTTATAAGACATGAAGCTAAAGTCAACTCCTGTAACAAGAAAGCATGCTTATGATCCCATTTTGCTGGTTCAAGAATCTCAGTATTAAACACAGTCTGGAATTTGTCAAGAGCGTCTTGTGCCATGAAAATGAGGAAGAAACTATGTCAGGAATTAATTATACAAACGTTACACAAAACTCGTCATCCTACAATAAATGTTTAGCTCTTTTGTGCAGGACATAAGAGAGCTACTGCAGCAGTCTTGTGGATTTCCATGTTCCAGTCCATACCAGCTTCCCTGGTGTCACTTTGTTTCCTATCTTTAATGTAAAGAAAGCTGTACTTGATTTTTTGGTGACTGATAATATTGTGCATTTAGTTGTTCTTTGCTGTTGGTATGATGTATGCAGTAGGATTAGGCCCTAATACAAGATAAAAGAAATTCTGATATTGATAGCCTTTTCTCCTATTCCTTCATCTGTTTAATCTCTCTCTGCCCAATAATAAAGAAGAGTTTTTGGGGAAACTGTTAAAAGTCACAGTTAATATTCTTTGAGACCGCTTACAGTTCATCAGTTGAATTGTGTTTTTCCTTGAAACTAGCCGACCATTTGTTTGTTCTAGGAAGCCACTGAAACAGGCCATTATAGCACACTTCAGGACAAAATAAAGGGACCTGCCTTGGCTGCAGTGCAGTCTGGGGGCTGACTGGCTGCAGAGCTGGAAGAGAGCTGGGATCTGGTTAGACAGCAAGCTGAGCATGAGCCAGCAGCGTGTCCTGACAGAAAAGAAGGGCAACAGCTCCCTGTGTTGTATTAACAGGAGCAAAGCTAGCACACTCAGGGAAGTATCTCCCTCCCTCTATTCAGTGTTCACTGGACTGCATCTGGAATACTACATTAGGGACCTCCAGTACAGGAAAAGCATTGACAAACTACAGTGAGTTTAGCGGAAGCCCCACTGAGCTAACTGGGGACTGGAGTATATATCCCACGAGAAGGTGCAAAAACTGTTCCTGTCCAACCTGGAGAAAAGGTGGCTTCAGGGAAAGCTAATAGTGTTCCAATACTTCATTCAGGCTATCAGGCAGATGGAGCCAGGCTCTTAATGGATTGCTGATGCCTAGAGAGGCTGCCTAGAACAGAGGCTAGACAGTGTTAAAGGAATAAAATAGGTATTTATTAAAAGGCCTTTAAAGGACACACCTTGGGCAGTACAAGAGCCTGGCCTTGGCTCCACCCAAGATGGACCCCGACCACGAGTTTTCACACTTTTCTAAGTTTTGGTCCATTTAAATATTGGGGCTAATTGTCCCAATTACAGCTTCAGGTTATGAAGTCCCATCCTCCCAGATTGCTCTCCTCAATTCACCATTGTTTACACTTTTTGTGCCTGAAGCTGCAACAGTGTCCTTGGTTCTCAGGCTGGAAAAGGATTGTTTTGTCTAATTAAACTGTGAAGAGAACTTGCTAGTACTTTATATGGAGTTCAGAGTTACATACTAATGCAGTGCAGAATCTGGAAAATATGAAAACTAAAACTTAAGGCATCAGTACATGGCAGGAGGATAAGAGACAATGGGAAGATGAAACACGAAAGGTTCAGACTGAACATAGGGGAAAACATTTCACCATGAGGACAGCCAGGCATGAGAAAAATGCAGTCTTCATCCTTGGGAAATTCAAGGCCAAACTGAGTAACCTGACCAGACATTTTAACTGACCCTGATTTGATAAGAACCTAGAGAATCCTGGAAGTCCCTGCCAATTTCAGTTATCCTCTGATCCTATAAAGTCTCTGCAAAAAAAAAAAAAAGATACTGATCCGTTGTTCTTAATACATATGTGACCACTTTGCTGACAGCTAATACCAGTATGCTTTAAAGATCCATTGTGTTGCCAAGTACTTAACTGAGCAGGTATGACCTGTATGACATATTTATAAAATCTATAAAGTTTATGAAGTTTATCAAGCATTAGCTTTGTAATCTTTAGCCAGTTTAGAAGGGTTACCACATCATTTCAAACCACCAGGCACAGTACTGGAAACTCCTAAGATCAGCAAGCTATGAAGGGTTGTATTATTGAAAGATCCCAAAAGTTGTAATTGTTTCTCCAGTGTTTTTCCTGGTATCCTGATGGTGCTCAGGAATGATGATTTCCATCAGTATGTACTGATACTTCTTCACTGTAACATGTTGCATGGCTCTTCTCATGTGGATTTTTTCCCTGCTTGCTTAAATCTTTTCCTCACTTCCTGCAGATGTAGGAGAAATGGAGGAGAACTACTGGCCATTACTGCAGGGTCTCCAGTTATCTGAGGGCCTTTGAAAACCACACATGAATTGGAGCTGTAATAGTATCAAAGAGACAAATTATGCTGTATCACATGTTCAGTGAGTTATTTTACTGTCCTTAAGATACAATTGTTCCTCAAGGGCAAGTGTTATCTTTGATGAGAGCTTTTTCCTAGGTATTTGGATTTCCATCAAATAATAATGAAGGAAAACACAGAAAAAGCTGTATCCCTTTACCTTATATTTAAATGGGAAACTGAATTTGACTTGTCAGAAATGCAAAGCATAGTGGAGTTAGGATTAAGGAGTTTTGCTGGGATTGAAACATGCTATTTTTAGACAAAGTTTTGAAGTCGCTGAGCTGAACAGGCTTAATCTGGATCTTTAAGATGCCACCCAAGTCTGGAGTTGCATTGAAGCTCTTACAGTAGATTTGGTATTCATAGTTGCAATTGAGACTATAAACTATTTTTCTGCGGGTTTTTCTTTTTTATCTAGATAGTATAACTTCTTGAGGCTAAACAGTTGTGTCAGCTGCATGTACATACATCCACACTTGGCCAGCTGGTGTCTTGGTAAAGCAGCTCTGCACCTATCCCTGCATGGGTGTCTTTGTCTAGTAGGGTAGCCCCTACCTGTATGATCTCCAAATGCACAACCTCACCCTATGTAAGTTCCACTTGAAAATAAAACAAAAGGTCTTGAAAAAGCACTAAGTTGTTCCTTTCCTCTTCATCTTACCCTACCTGTCTACAGACTATTTAACTGCATTTCACTTACATTCTTCTTTAAGTGTTAACCCTTGGGGCTTACTTCTCTTGCAGAGATAATCATGGGGCTTGGGGACACTTTTTGTGACACTTGATACAGTTCCCTAGATTTCATAAACTAACAATTAAAAGGTTTTCATAGTAGCAGTTTTTAACTGTTGGTTGTTTCTTGAAGATTTTTGCAACTACTATCTTTGAGCATATTAAAAAAAATGTTGGTTATTTTCTTCTTTATTCCACAAAAATGCCACATAGTTACAAGTTCCATGATTTACTAAATGGATCATACAAGTGAGAGCAGCAAGGGCTTTTTATTCCACAAATCTTTATAAGACTGAAATATTTGCAATACAATGGTGGTTATACATAAAGATTGGAGGATGAGAGGCTGGACAGCAGCCCTACAGAAAGAGACCTGCAGTTTGGGTTGATGGCAAGTTGATAGGAGTCAGCAGTGTGCTTTGGCAGCCAAAAGGGCCGACTGGAGCCATCAGGCACAGCACCACCAGCCAGGCAAGGGATGGGATTGTCCTGCTCTGCTCTGCAATCCTGTAGCCCCAGCTCAAGCACTGTGTGCAGTTTTGGGTGCCACAAAAAGGACAACAAACTGTTAGAGCATGTCCAGAGGAGGGTAACCAAGATGGTGAAAAGTTTTGAGGGCAGTAATTGGGAGGAGCAGCTGATGTCACTTGTTTGTTGAACCTGGAAAGGAGAAGGCTCGGGTGTGTCCTCATCGCAGCTGAGGACTCCCTCAAAGGCGGCGGTGGATGGGGCGGTGCTGCTCTCCTCTCCCTGGTGAGCAGCAAGGGCACAGGGGGCAACAGAATGAAGCCACGTCAGGGGAAGCTCAGGTTGGACATTAGGAAAGGGTTCTTCACTGAGACCATTGCTGGTCACTGAACAGGCTCCCCTGGGAAGCCATCATGGCACCGAGCCTCTCTGGACAATGCTCTTAGTTCTGTGGTTTAGGTTTAGGTAGTCCTGCAAGGAGCAGGGAGTTGGACTTGATCCATATAGGTCCCTTCCAATTGGAGATATTCTAGGATCTGTGGTTGTGTGATTGTGTTCTTGGGTTTGCTCAATTTGCAGAATTATCACCATGTTCAAAATAGTATAAGATTGAAATTAATTGAATACTATTTTATACATCATATATGCAAAATATTATACATAAAATGTTAATGTAAATGATATAGTAAGTGAATCAAGAAAGTGTCTTTATTTTGTATAAACATTAATATGACTTTCAGAAATTCAGAAAATACAGTTGTTTTGAGTAATTACCTATGATGAGTTACAGCTATGAGTAGTGGTAGAAGATCTTTACTATCAATTGAAAATTATTAACATAATAATAATAAACAAGACTGACCCTTACTTATGCTGCAAAACCTGCATTTAGCTTATTATAGACTGCTGAATAGTGATATTCCACAAGCCTCAAATTTATTAATTGTACTGGTGTTTCTAAAATTATTTTTTAGGAACAGTTAGACAGTGAGAGCATGAAATTGAAGCAACTTGAGGACAAAAGCAATCAAAAGGAAAGGAAGCTTTTATCTATTATTTCCAATCAAGATGATAAAATAAGAAATCTGGAAAGCAAATTGCAAGAATTAAATGAAGCACAAAAGGGTATACAGATGCCAACGTATAAAAGGGAGGTAAGATAAGAAACCAAGTAGAGATAAAATAAAAAAGACAAACATGAAATGTTTTGAATTCATACTAATTATTCTAATAAATTTATTTTACATTTCATCCTTCTATAATTACTAGGAAATGGTCAAATAATACAAAGCACATAGGGAACACCATTACAAACTTTTTGGTTAGTTGGTGTGTTAATTTTATTTTATTGTATGTATTGAAAATTTTCATATTTGTCAAAACTCCAGATTAGCATTTCTGATATATAATTTTCTGTTGGAAGTTTTCACCAAAACTGAGTTGATTTTTTCATTTTTATGCCACCCTATTTTTATTACAGAATAGCATCCAGGGTGCTATTCTGTCGCTGTGGGATAACTGGAGTGCAGTCATTGATGTCAGTCTAACCATGTATGCACATATTAGCTACCTGATTTAAAGTGAACACAGGTAAGCATAGGAGCACAGCAACACAGGACTTGTTGCTATTAGACCTCCTAACAATTGCTTAGTTTGCTGTGATGATAAGGACTTGTATCCTGTGTTGCTGGGTGTAAGGCATCTCCAGTGCATCTGCAGCTGCACTTCAGCCTTACAGGTAAGACACGCCTGTGGTTATAGGCAATGGATCAGCTTATACAGATTTCTAAGCTTACACATCTTTGAAATCAGCTGATTTGGCAGGCATGCTCAAGTTCGTGTCTGCCTTGGAGCACATATGAACTACTCAGGCCATCTGGTAATGTAGCACTAGTGGAACTGCAGCTTAGTGACTGATTATTATGAAAACTTCCCTTAATGCCTGGCAGATGTAAAACTATGTAGTACTGGAGTGAACCACACGGTGGTAGTCAAAGTTAATAACTTATTTTAAAAGCTGCTAGAACTCCTGACATATTAGCTTCTGATGTGTTCATTGAAATTTTCGGTGAATAAATTGATTTTTAAGAGGTAAAATAGCTGGGTAACAAGCTTATACAAAAGACAGAATCTTACCTTACACATGACTGAAAACTAATTACAATCAAGCCATATTCTTAGAACTAGTTGCCTTTCAAGGGAGTATGAGCAGAGAAATGCCACACTGAGTTAATAAGTTAACCTAAAAGGAACTAGCAATTTCACGCAAAATGCTTTTGTCATTTTGACAATGCTTTGAGAGCTTTCAACAGGACTAGGTAAAGGACCCCGTGACATTTTTATTCATATGAAGGTGAAGCGCGAAATTAATATGCTAACGTGCTCAATATTTTCATATTTTACTTCAAGGTGAAAAGTAAGAAAGTTGTTCCAGATAAGCCTGAATTATCTCTAGGGATCTCTGGTATTTCACCTGAAAGGTAAATACTTCTGCAGCATTTTTCAAATTTGCTTTTGGCTTTTCTGCAATTAAGTAAGGCCAGCTATTGCCCTCTTTTCTACACAGTACCTTAAGAACTGGCTGGGCAGGGAGTCGGGAGGGGGCAGCATCAAAGGTCAAAGAGCTAATGTAGGGAGATAATAGAGCCAACAACTGTGTGGAATCATAGCTGGGATTTTACAAGTATGGAGAGCTAAGCTGGGAGGGAGAAAGATACCAACTCAGTTCAGCAGGAGGTTAAACTCTGGGAAACATAGGTGGATGTTAATGCTGGGGTTTGGATAAGCATTAACTGCCTTGCATTAACTCTTCTGGACAGGAATTGCAGCCATTATGGATTAACTGATGGCAGCACAGCACAGGAGCCTGCTGTGCTGCCAGGAAGCGCTCTGATAGGCAGCATGGAGAAATAATTCTTGGCCTGATCCTTCCCAAATTAGATCGTTTGAAACTAAGTTTATCTGTAAGCTGAAGACAGCAAGTCCCTGCTATGACCAAGGCATCAAAGCAGAAGATTTCTTCTTCTGCCAGTAATTTCAGAAAAATACTGAACAAAGTCTTAGGTTTGCATTTTTCAAAGGATAGCCAGTAATGCCACTTTTAACAGCTTTGTTGGGGTCCAATAGAAGACTCTCTAAGGTGAGGTAAGGGAAGTATTAAGGGAAAGTATCTATTTCTTGCTTTCTTATTCTCTTGGCGAGGCATCTGCTTTTGACCACTCCCATACATGGGCTAGGTGAACCATGTGGATCTTTAGTCTGGCTTGCTACTCTTTTGTGATAAGAAAGAGAGGAAATAAGACTGTAATGTGAGAAAGACCGTTTTTTTTTATTTATATCTAAAAAATGAAAAAACTTTACCTGTCTTCTCTTTCCCTGATCTCAAATAGCTTCCTTACTTTACTGTTTTCTTGGAAGAGGTATGTGACTGGTAAGATTGCTGGTAATCTTACACTAGTAAGATTATAGTATCACAAATGTCTAGCAAATTAAGACTACTTAATCTAATCATAGCTATGTTTTAATGTTCTGAATAGAAACTTTATTTTTTTATTATTTGTTATTTATCAAAACATCTGGAAAATCATCAAAAAGTGTTAACAGCAGTGATTTTAACTACTTCTGTAGATCTTTTTTTCAAATGAGATACAAATATACATTTGTGTCTTCAGAAAGAGAAACACAACAGAAGTAGAAACACAGAATGCTGTATGAATAAGCAATAAAAAAGGAAAAAAATTCACTGGATTAAAGGAAAATTCCTCCTGAGATCTTTTGGTGAAAAGATGGAAAAGAGAACACAAATCCAACTTCACTTTTTGATCTTAGAAGTTCATTTTATAAAATCCATTATCTTGTGCTTAAAAATATAAATTACTCAGCAAGTTTATCAAAATTTCACAGTGGAATTTCATGGATGCATCAGTAACTAAATAACTGTGCCTTTGGGGAAATAAACCCACACCAGCATTTTTGCCGTTCTCAGTGCTGATAACTAAATATCAGATTCCCATGTGATACTCTGGAAAAGATACAATACACTAAATCTCTCAGAATAAAAAGAAAAGTCATATCATATTGTATGAAACCAGAGGGAATGAGTTCACAAACTCCTCCCCAAAATTCCAGGTAGACAGAGAAATAAAGAGCCATAACAAACGTGTGTTCCTTCTTCTGCAGTCTGAAGTGCACTGGCAATGACAGCAAACAGTTAATGTTCATAGTGGCAGTATATTATTTTCCCTAGAACTGAGGTAGAAACAGTACCCTTGGCTCTTCCACAAAATACCTGAAAGAACTGAAAGGCTGGATTTTTGGGGGTGGTCCTTGCAAGGTCAGTTCCTATCTTCAAAGATATATGTGTATGATATGTCTAAACAACTCTTTGACAACATTTCCTTTTTTTGCTTGCTTTTAACTGAGGAGAACAAAAATATGTATATATATGTCAAAGAACAAGATATCCAAGAAAAATAGCTTATACTATTGTTTTTCCCTGGTTTGTGGGTGTGACTAGATTACAGGTCACAGCAAGCTGAATTGGTTGACTCTTTAATTTATGATTTTGATCTTCCAGAGAGAATCTGGAGACTATTTTCCAGGACATGAAAGAAGAGTGTCATCGAATATGTATGCTAGCCAGAGAACAAACAGACCAACTGAGTATATTTAAGATAAAGCCAGAACCTGAAACTGGTAATATCATACTTAAGCTCTTATTGTGATTCAACTGTTTGAAAGCTTTGCTTTATATTTGAAAATACTGCAAATTACACATACATAGAAGTACTTCCACTGTTTACCATCTGCCTTTTTCAAGTCTGTTCACATGGTGCTCAGTATTTCACCAAGAAAACGCACCGCCAGTTTTGGCATTCTATGACGAATGCTCCAAATCACATGCTATAAAAGACAGTCATCACATCAATGGCTCTTGTAATTGTTTTGTCCCTTGGAGTGAGAGGCAGGCACTTACTACATGTGATATCCCATCATACTGTGTGAATGACAGCACTTGCTTGCTTTTAATTTAGCTGTCAGTTCAAAAGATGTCTGCTATGAATGCCTCTAGCCCCATATCTGTTAGAGGAAAACTGCAGGACTGAGGAGAGTCAGAGGACTTATTTTCTAGACTTCCTTGTGCAGACTTTTAAATAATGTTTTCTTATGTGGGACAAGAGCTTAATCCAGTACTTCCTGAAAACAAAAGGAAGGCTTGATTTTTTTTTTTTTTTTAACTGTGAGAGATTCTGAATGTCCTGTCTTGCTAATGCTTACCTTTAATACAATGTAAGCTACTATGGGTATTCTCTACTGACTTTTCTTAATAGTAAGATCAGACTCTTATTAAGTGATTTCAATAAACAGCTGCCAAATGCATACAGCTGAAGCAAAAGATGCTGATTTCAGTGCTTGATTTTAATTTAGGTCATCCTTTACTGAAGTTTTGTTACATGAAGTAATAACTGGTATCTCATTGCTTCAAATTGTTCTGTCTGAACTGTATTGTGGTCGTCTGACTGTATGCTAATAACTTCATTATTTGGGGGTGGGAATTTTGGAGGAAGTGTGTTTGGCAACTTACTTTACAAGAATGGTTTTGATTCCCAACAAAGTGCCTAACTCAGCTGTGTGAAAAGCCATACATGATGTAAGCCATGTAGATGATAAAAGAACTGCTTAAATCAACTGTGTAAAGGCATACTTACAAAACTATCTAGATTTAATGTTTGATTTGTTATTTCTGCGTTCCACTGTCAGAAGGCTGCTGTACAATCATTCTTTACTGAAGTTATTCTCTCACCTGGTTAAGAGTAACTATTACCATTTTTATTAATATAGTGCCAAAAACAAAAGGTGAATTATCGAAACAAAGGGAAAACATGGTCCCATTTCTGAATAGCTATTCAGTTTAAATATTTAACTAATTTGGAAACCAGTAGGAGTTGGGTACCTGAATACCTTCTAAAATCGTGTTCATGGTGCCTAGCATGTTCTTGGCACTGTGTGAAGTGGTTTGGGTTCCAGCTTCTATTTCTGCCAGAACACTTCAGTGAATATGCAAGTATGTGTTAAGAGTATGGGACAACATAATTTTCAAGAAAATGAAAATGTTTATAGCCATAAATCAAAGAAAAATATAATTACTGGAAGGGAGTATTTCCTTTTATTTCTGTTTTGATAGTTTTTGTGTCAGAACTAATGTTTGTGAAAGAGAACTGCAACTCAATCTGATTTTAAAATAAAAAGTTTAATAGCAGGGAAGGAAGACAAAAAAAATAAACCAACACTACATTTTTAATAACTATATTTCAGTGGACTATTTAATGTTTTCTTCATTCTTTCTTCACAGAAATACAGTTTTCCATGCCGATACAGTGCACAGATAAAACTGATGAACAAGCAGAAGAGCTTTTTAAGCCTCGGGTTATAAAGGATATAAATAGAGGTGCATCATGCATCACATCTATCACACCAAGAGGAGTGGGCCAAGATGAGGACAACAACTCTGTAGAATCACTTTCTAAATTTAATGTCAAGTTTCCACCTACAGACAATGACTCTGCTTTCTTGCAGAGCACTCAGGAAAAACCAACAGTTCCTTGTACCGGTATATCTGAAAACATGCTTCAAGATCATCATTTTAACCTGGAGCACAGAGACCGTGCTGTTAACCTCAGTAAATTGGAACCTAACTCATTTGAAGCTCATGGCATTGATCTCATGACCTCAGCTTTACAAAGTTTAACTGCTGTTGACAAAACAAACCCCTCAGATCATGCAAAGATGCCCATAGAAAATATCTGTGACAAGCCATGTTTAAAAACAACAGACAGTGGTTTCACATTTGTCCCTAAGCACACAAACCAGGGTGTACCTGAAGTAATTTTTCCTTTAGAAGCTGCTGGAACAACCGTCAGAGGTCCTCATCAGGTATCTTTCTATAAATATTCTACATTTCAAAAAATGATAATGATTCAGACACACATTTTGCAAAGATCTTTGAGACTGGATTAATATATTCTCTAAGAAAGCTGATCAGTCTTTTTTTTAAGACACTATCTCTTGTCATTCTTCTTTCTAATGCTGCAAAATGTGTTCAAGATGCTTTTCCAGTGAAACATCAGGAATATAAGCAGACATAAGCACTGGATGTTTTTACAAACTTCAGTTAATCTAGATATTAATTGCTTCTATATCTATTTCAAAGCTGTCATTAATCCTAAATTGTCCCCTAGATTGCTTTCTTTCTACCCTTGATCTCAGTTGTATAGGGCACACATTTGTTTTAATTGTTTTTCATCTACAGAAGAGAATTGGAAATATGAACCAATTAAAAAGTTAAACAGATAAGTACTTCTGCTATTAAAAAAGCTACTTTTTGACTCAATCTGAGGTATTAACAACACCCTATTCCTCTGCTCTAAGAAGCTTAAATTTTTGTCATTGTAGGAAAAAAAAAATATTTTTCGAATGAAGGAAAGTTTGCTAAAATACTTTATTTTAGGTTTATGTATGTAACTTGGGCTTAAATTTCAGTTATAACCTGAAGTCCATGGGAGCTGCTGAAAACAAGGCCCAGTAGCTGTAATGCAGAAAAACCTATTGGCATGTTCTGACACTTGTCTTTGAATACTTTTCTTCTTTTGTGTAATATCATGTCTGAGATGAAAGCTTGCAAAATTATGGAGCTTTATAGACTGATTTTGCGTTTGGTTTGTTATTTCTGTGGGTTTTCTGGTAGCTTGTGAAAGGACAGATTTTCAAGAATAAGCAAATAGTGATAATTTGGAATTCTGTGAGGGTGGAATTCACCTATTTTTGCCATTTACATGGATGAAGTTTGTGTTCTTTCATAATGACAAGGTACATGCAGCAGAAGAGCTTTACCTCTCCACTTGGTCACTGCATGACCTGCAAAAACAGCATTTAGAAAGTGTTGTAGGCCATTATAACTTTGATGTTTTCTTCTCCTAAAATTTACCCAGTCTAGTTTAATTTTCTATTGCAAACCACTTTTTGAGTGAAAGTTTTAAAGTTTGAAAGATTGCTGCTATAAGCTTGATTTTTTCAAAAGGTATTTTAAATATCTATTTGTAATGTAGGAGATCTCAATTTTTTACCAACTTATTAATTACAGTTTTTATTGCATTTTTCATTGGGTTCTCAGAAATTGTGACTAAGTTAAATAAATTAACACATTTCTTTTACTGCTAGTAGAATTCCTGTGGAACTGCAAATAATTCACTCCATTGCTTGCTACTATCCTCCTTTTTTGTATTCCTTCTCCAGCCTGTTCTTTTACTAGTTAGTCTGTATATTCATTTTTCAATAGGTGGCACCCTGCATTGAACATTGCAGCAAGTGAAACAGCTGGTATGTGGTTATAAACTGATAGGAGAGTATGCAGCTTAAAAAGTACAGAACAGTGGTTGAATAGCAGTAAGCCTTTGACCACTGGTATTTCTGCCAAATAAGGAAATTAATTTGGAGCCAGCATTTAAAATGTGAATTATCTGTTTTCTGGAGAAAAATGTACTAATGTAGCACTCAGAGAAAAAGAAAGCTAATGGTGAATTGTTTAGTATTTGAAAGTCATATCTACAATAGCACTGCATTGATTAAAATGTTATTTCTTATTCAGAAGCTTGTTTGAAACAAGGCAACTTTAGAATCCATTAAATATACACCTGTGTATATCAGTATATTTAAATATCCATCACCTTTATTCAGCTGCTTTCAAACTAGGTTTTAAGTATTTTTCCCAATTAATTGGACTCAGTTCTAGAGGTTTTTTTGACTGTAAATTTTGCTAAAGATTTGGTCACAGATAATATACATGTAGATTAAAAGAGTAATTTTTTTTAAGTTACTTGTATACATGCCCTTTTCACTTTGTTAACCTTAGCAAAATTTATGTATAAACTTGTTCTTAGTATTTTTACCACCTTTCTAGGGGGTGGTTATGCTGCTTACAGCTTCTATCATCCCTTCCAAAAGTGAAGGAAAAGCCAAAAAGGAGAGAATTATATACCTCTTTTTTTTTTCCTAGTGTAGATAAAACTTTCAAGTATTTACTACATATGTTAACTTATAAAATGGAAAACCCCATAAATGCAATAGATTTGGCAACAGCAAGTTCTTGGAACTGCTCTCAGTTGGTGTAATAAATTTAGCTCTTTCCTTCTATGTGGATACTAAATCTAAAAACTCAGTACTGTTTTCTTAGAATGTAACTTTAAAAAAAAAACGTGACTGAAAAGAGCAGTAGATTAAAATAAATATGGATATTAGTGAACCTAGGATTTTACAGACTACATTTAGCTGAGACTTTCATATAGATGTATATGTTTATTGGTATTTGCAGTTTGAGGAAGTTGTTTCCACCAAAAATACTTCTAAGTATGTTCATGATTTTAAAAGTAAATCAGTAGTCTATTAATTTCAATATTAATGTTTTTGAAACAGAATGTCTGCTTAAATAGATCCTTGTTCTGACAGGGATATTAAACACAAGCTTAGCACTGAAGAAATTGAAGTTAAGTGCCTGCATGTGTGGGTTGCTGGATGGGTACCTCCCCTCGTTATCTTTCCAAGATGACAAATAGTTTTTACAATACTATTTTATCTTTTTTTCAAATGGTGCTTTACATCATATCAGAAACAAATAATTCTAAACACATTTATGTAGTGTGTTTAAGTGTGTTAACTTGTTTAAGTGTGTCAGTGTCTAGATAGATTTAATATGCAATTTACACCAGCAACATACAATAAGTAGACTCTTTGAGCTGAAAAAAGTGGTGTGATTGCACTTAATTACTAATTAGTCAATTTAATTATATGGATTGCTGACCATAATGAAAGACAGTAAGTCTGCTATTGCTATGTGATAAGCCAAACACTGTTTAAATACAGAATGGGCAGGAAATTGACTCCCAAGAAGTTCGGGGTGGTTTAAACAGAAGGTTTAACCACTGTGAAAGTCAGTTTAGTTGTACAGTGGATTGCTGTGGGAGAAATAAGCAATAGATTCTAACTATTTGGCATGATGAAATTTAAAGAAGAGCGCAAAATTAAAAATCTTGGGTATCAGTAGCAAGAAATTTAAATTTTCTAAAGAAATTACTTTGTATTCTTTCTTGTCTTCCTTCCCATGTATGAGTAAAGCAAGTGGAAAAAAATGAGCCAAAAAAAACCCTTTATGGCACACTCTTTATAAGTTCCATCCCCACATAGAGCTCATAGCAGCTGGCTGCCATTCTTTATACTTCGTACTCACAACAGGATGCATTTGGTTTTCAATTTACCCAAAACCTGATTGTCCTGAGCATATAATGTATTTGATTTTATATACTATTTGATCTTATGTTACTAATACTAAAGTTATGAAACTTAAGTTTTAACTTTGAAAACTGATAGAAGACATTTTGATTTCTATTTGATACTATTATAAATAGTGTACACTCTGAGCTTAAGTGCCTTGAATTCCAGTGTTGAATAAACAGACTTGCTGGCTTGAAACTAGCTAGCTAAGGGACCAAGAGCAGTGCAGCTGCTGAACCAAATACAACGTAGTTTATAGAATTGCCTGAATGCATGGATAGATATGCATGTTTCCAGTGATTTTGACGCTGTCATGGCAGGAAGAATCCCAAACAAGATTATTTGTAACACATTTATACTAAAAGGCAATCAGAGTAAGTACCTTAAGCCATTACATGGATGTAGTAATTTTGGAAATAAACTGAAAACTACTTATATGTGAATAAGAATGGACATAAAATATGAATCATATTAACTCTGTACAAGAAACATTTTATTCTAAGGTAAAAATGTATTTTCTCATTTCTGCTAAATGGCTATTGTGTACTAGGACTTCTTCAGTAAAATACTGACATGCAAAGTTAAAGAAAAGCTTTAGTATGTACCAGACTGATATTACAGAGTTCTGCTCCTAGCAATATTTATTGTTAATAGATACCAAGGTATTTTTAAATATTTGCAAGGATAGAGTGTTTATAGAACTTTAAAAAAACTAAGTCCTGTCTTGCTTTTCTTAAATGAGAACTCTCTAGTTAATGTCTCTGGCCAGGCAGGTGTAAAGGAATTCTAATTTAAAGAGGTAGGCATTTATTTTAATAAAAACAACAGCAAAATGTAAACCTCAGCAATAATAATTTTCTGTTTCTTTTAGCCCATTTGGCAGCCTCAAGACAATGATTTGCTGGCACAAGCATATGCAGACTCTGAACTGAATCAGTGTGGAATATGTGAATTCTGTCGAGAAGTTTTCCCACCATCTCTAACATCTAAGGAAGATTTTCTTCGGCATCTCAATTCCCACTTTAAAGTACAGTCTTAATGTATGAGAATTCAATGGTTCACTGTTTTTGCATACATTTAAACATTTTTTTATTCAATAGATATGAGTTTAAGAATTAAGACTTCTTGTAACAAGAACTCATGACTGAAATTGTTTGTCAGATAAGCACAATTTTAGTTGTCTTTTGGGAAGGCAAAATGAAACTAAGTCACTCAGTACTCTGATTCACATTATTGCTTGTTATGCTTCACTATTAACTTTGAGAGTGATGTCAAACACGTTTTTTGCCCAACTAATCTTTGCCAGAATAGGCCTGAAGTTGTGACTATATTTATTAATGTAGAGTTGCAGGATTAATGCCTTAATATGGCTGGCAAAAATTGGTGTAATGCTAGGGTTCTCTTTTACAATTTCCAGTGATGTTCTTATGTTCTCCCTGAAGTAAACAGGAAGAGAAATAGACCCCCATTTTTCATTTATATTACATAATTTCCAAATAGTGAACCTCTTAATTCAGATTCTTGTAAAATTATCATAATAGCTGAATCCAGGTGTGCCAGAATTAGGATAGGTTTGTACATTAGTAACATAAATGAGTGGTTGACTTTCCCAGATGAATTTTTTACTAAAGCAAGTAATCAAAAGTAACATATAAATGACCGTTTTGGCAAAATGGAACAGTAATGATTTTTTTAATATCTGTTTCATGTTATAAAAAATTATTGTTCATGTACCTTTATAGCATTAATAATTACTAAAAATGCTTTCAGGGAACAGGTTATATTAATATGAAGGATAGAAAAGGTTAAACTTTCCTCAAAACTAGTAATACCAAAGATTATTTGCCATCCCTTCTGGTCTGCTATGATAGATTACCCAAGTCTGATACAGACTAGAAAGGAAAGGGGAAAACCTAGTCATCTAAGTCTCAGTGAATTTATTTTTAACCTGAATATAGAGGCTTTCTCAATGCAATTAAAATTTGTGTTTAGTTGAAACATTGAAGTCTGATAAAGCTTGCACATTTTCTGGATTTACTGATGTCAAATTTAAAAATAGGGGTGCTGCCAAGTATTTTAAATTAATGATAAAGGGTGGTGCTTGCTTTTTGCATTTGAACTGAATATAGAGTTTAGCCTTTATATTGATAATTAGCATTAATATTTTCATAGCAGCAAAGCACAACACTTTTTCTTTTTAAAGATTTGTTTGCAGGTGATAAATTTCTGGAAGAATTAACACCTACGTAATTTTTAGAAATGGATTTTTCTGCAATTATTTTCTCTATTTTAAACATGTCATGTTTGTGACGGGCTGTCAGCAGAGTGTACTGTAATAAACAGCACTGTAGAGTGCACGTCTGCTACATGACCTGGAGGAAGAGTTTGTCACTCTCCGGAGCTCTAAACCCGCCGGTGCGCAGCGCTGAAGAGGCGATGTTCGGCCGCGGCCGCGCCGTGCGGAGTGTGAAGCACCTCCCCGGAGAGCGCGGCTGGGGGTGGTGCCCAGGAGAGGCACAGGTTCTGGGAGGAGAGAAGGGGATTCGCACATCTCCAGCCAGCCCGACACACGGTGCCACTCGTCCTCTCAGTCGTGAAACTCGAGCTCAGAAGCTCGCGGTTTAAGGGATGCGCAAAGTGCGAATCACCTTTGAAGAAAATAAAGTCATCTGTTCCTGTCCCCCGCCCCCACGCGTGGCTGCGGTTCCGCAGGAGCCCTTGAGCTGGCAGAGCCGCGAGCCCTGCGCCGAGCCCGAGTCCCCGCGCGGGGACGGGGCTCTTTGTTGCTGGAGGCAGCCTGGGGTCCGCCGCAGCCAGGGCACAGAGGGGAGGGCGGCAGGAGGTGGGGGGAACACGCTTGACCGAAGTCTCGTCGACCAGCGGAACCCATCCATTTCCCGCTGTGAGGGCTCCTGCCTAGTGCGGCGTTTTAGGAAGCTGTTTAATCCTGCGTGCGCAAAACTGTTGCTGCCTGAGGGCATCCAGATAGGCTCACCGATCAGACCACTGCGAGGAGCGCTAGTTTAGTTTTTAAATAAACAATAAATAAATAAATAAATACCACGCTAAGCAGTTGTGAGCGACTCGAAGTGGGAGGCGAGTGCGGTCCCTGAACGGGCCCCCCTTATACAGCTTTCCTGGAGGCGGCTGCTGCTGCCAGCAGGGACATCTGCTTTATTACACTCACCAGAGGAGGCTCAGTATTCCTCCCCTTCCCTCCCTCTTCAACACAAACTCAACCCGGCAGAGGAGGTTGAATCCAAATGGGAAGTAGAATGTCATTAAAAATCATAAATATGGTGGAAGGAACTTGAGAGGACGGGAAAAGCAACAAACTTGTGCCAAGGTGTTCTACCGAACTCCAACTCCGCCAGGGCCAGCGGAGCCCTGGCCAGGGCAGCCCCGGGGCTGGAGCAATTTCAGGGCTCCCGTACGAGTTCGTTGTCAGCCCGCCCCGCGCTGACGGTGCGCGACGCGTGAAGCCCCCGCGCTCCCAGGCAGCTCTCGCAAGGAAGCGAACTGCTCCCGTTTCCTCTCTGAGCCCTCTGAGGGACACTGCGGCGGTACGGCTGCCTCAGCCTGCTGCGAGGGCTCGGTGCCGGCGGCCGGGTAGAACACATGTAGCTCCTCTGTCTCTCCGGCTAACTCGACAGCTGCTCGTAGCTCCAGTAATTAGACTGTCATTGCTTGTTAGAGGAGAGGAAAACGCTCCTATGACAGATTCCACGAGTCCTCTGGTTTTTTTTAAATCTCGCAGAAATCACCAGAGCATTAACTGAGATTTCTTATTTCTCTAGAATCAGAAGGAAAGAAGTTCCCTCTCCGATCTCGCACTCCAATGAGACCTCTCTTGTGACTCCCATGAAATAGTGAATTCGCTATAAGAGGCTGAAGAAGTTACCTTCCTTCCCCTGCCTACCCGGGAGGAAGAGGGAGCTTCCTGGCCTTGTGAAATTGCTTTTAAAATCCCTTCCCCGCATGGCTTTATCTAGCCAGATAATAGAAATGCAGCATTTTCTCCATTAACTAAGCGGAGGAGTTGCTCAACGCACAACAAACTCAACACATCCTTTCCCATCCGCGATAATATTAACTCAGAGGATGCTCAGGAGAGGCTGTTACCCCTTATGAACAAAAGCACTGGAGGATCAAGCCGAGATGCTGCTACCCCCACCCCATGGTTCTCTTAGCAGATGAGACTGAGAGGAGGCGATTTCTTCCCCTCCCTACCGTATATTCCCCTTTCCCCCGCAATCATACAAGGTTAACTCAACAGAGGAGTCTCAATCTAAATGGCAACTGGGATTGCATTAAAAAAAAAAAAAAAAAAAAAAAAAAAAAAAAAAAAAAAAAAAAAAAAAAAAAAAAAAAAAAAAAAAAAGAAGGGGGAGAAAAAAATCAGAAATAGGGAAAGAAAAGAGAAAAAGCAGCAGGCTGATTACGAGGTGTCAAAACTGCCAGGAGCAAGAAGGTGATAGCAATCAGGGGTGAGAAGAGTGCGCCATTCGTGCGGGGCAGCTAATTATCCGTCTCATTTGAGAAGAGCAGCATTCGAGGCAGCAGCGTTCGCCTGCTGAACGGTGACAGATTGGCGCGGAGGAGAGGGGAGGTGTTAAAACAATGGAGCCGGGCTTGCGAGCGCTGCTGCATGCTAATCAGCCCGGCCTCCTTCCTTCCTTCCCTCCGCCTGCCTGCCTGCCGCGATCCCTCCTTCTCGCTGGCCGCATGGCAAGCCCAGCGCTACGCGGCCCCTCCGCAGCGGGCGGCACCGCACCCGCCATAGGTGGTAACTCGGAGAGTTCCGGCGGGACCGCGCGGCGGGGCTGGCGGCACCCGGGGGACCCGGCAGGCTGCTGGGTATCAGTGGTAGAGTTCAGACCTCGCCCTCGGCGCCCGGGCTGGCAGTAGCCCATCAGTGCACTCCCCGCAAGGGGCAGAGGCGAGGAGCCCTTGGTGCGAGCCTGCGGGTTGTGCGGGCTGACCTCCCGGCGCTCTCCCCGCCAGGGGCCAGGCCAGAGCCGGCAGCGCAGCAGGTTGCCCAGTGAGAGACAATCTATTGCCGCACCCCAGACCAGGCCGCCTAGATGAGAGAAATGTAGAGCTGTGCCAATTACTGATGGACTCCAGGGGCTCCGTTGCCTTCACAGCTCTGCACGGGAACTAGAGACCGGAATGCTAAAACATGCAGTAAGCAAGCGGCCTCTCTTCACCACTGCCTTTTGCCTCTCGGATTGCTTGGCCTTGCAAGCCTGAATGACCCTGCATGTACACAGTGTGTGCCTTGTGACGAGGTACTAGAAGGTCTGGCCTTCTCTCAGACCAGGAACAACCGTTCCCTTTCACACACAGTGCAACAGTGTCTGCAGAGACAGCAGAAAGGCTTTCGGAGGGATCTCTTCGGCCCTAGCTTTCCTGGGAAGTCCATGCTCCGCAGGACTCACAGGGCAAGCCCCGGGGCTAGAGCATTAGCAGCCCAGCTACAGTAAGTGCTCCACTCTGCCAGGGAGAAGCAGAGGAATGAGCGTTGGAATGTTTACTCTCCAATATTTCTCAGTTTCCATTCCATCCTGCCCTGAAAGATTTTTGATTACTATACACTTCAAAATAGTATTTATTACAGATTTACATAATCTGTATGTTTTATGTTAAGGCAATAACACATTGATGCTGTACTACTGAAAGGAGTTAATCTAAACTATGTAGTGTCTGTTATAACAGAGTTCCAACTAAAACATATCCTTGCTTTCTGGCACTGACAAGAAACACGTATCCAGAAGGACATTGCCCAGCACATTAGATAAACTGCCAGGTGAAGCCGTTGCTCGACTCCTGAACCTTCACTGGGTTATGGATCAGCATTTGGCCAAATTAAATGATGTCTGTGTGTAACCTCACATTTAATTAAACAAATGTTATTTCAAATAGCATGTGTCTGATTTACAGCAGGATTCATGGGTAAAAGAAAACACTGAAAGGGAATAAAGTGGTTTAGGCCTGAGGTAAGAAGCATGATAACTCAGGTTGAATGCTATTTAAAGTAGATTTGAGTGCATGTACAGCTAGGCGGTAGTAATAGCGTTTAAATTTTGTTATTCTAAGTCTGTCGTTGAGTGTACTTGATGAGATTGTCCATGAGCATACAGATGGTGAGATTTTCATGCTTCTGTGGCATACTGACATCTCAGGCTGTAAAAATAAATTCCCAGATCGCTGTAATACCTAAGAAATAGAAAAATGCAGTCCACCTTAATGCTCTATATTTGAGTCCTTTATGTTTTAAGAGATTTTATATACTAGATACATAAGTTTGTGCATATTAGGAAGACATTTACAGTATGAAGCAAAATTCAATATAAACTCTGCACCCTTTTTTATGTGCTTCTGAATTTAGAGATATGGGGGATGGAGATAAAAATCTGCCTTTGCTATTATCTGTATTTTTTTTAAACTGTTCTCGTGGTTTGTTTGTGGCCCCCTGCTACCAAAAACCAGGCTGTACCAAACCAATACATTTGTACCTAAGGATTAAAAGGCAGAATTAAGTTTCCATAAGGTCAAGTTTACTTTTCATTAAAGGATTATTGGATTCTTTCTTGATTTCATATAATTTTCCAACCTGGAAACAAGCTATTATATATATTTTGATGATTTAAACTGTACTAGAAAGGTATTTGAATCAAAGACGAATGCCGAGATATTTTCTCTAATATAAGTTTTTGCCTGCCTAAGAAGCCATAATATGGAGAAATCCATGCATCAGCCTGTTCAGCCCAGAAACCAGCACTGATATTGCTCATAAATATCCAGGGTAGGGCATCCCTATTGGTTACTGCCTGGCTGCAAACAAGGTGCTGTACTTATCCAGGTTTCTGAACTGACCAAATTAAAATTTTAAATAAAGATATATAGCAGGGTGATATTGTGCAAATGAGCTAAAAGAAAAACATTTTGCAGAGACAAGTACATAGTTTAAAAAGGTTTAAAATATTCAATTGGTGTAAAAAATAACTACTTGTAAAAACGTGTGTATTTTCATTATGCTTAATTTGCCATTCAAAACAAGTTTTTCTTAATAAGCTCTATTGTTTCTATCTGTTTTGTGAAATGTAATACGTGTGAGACAGAAAGCAGACTCGGAATGTGAATGAGTTTTGTTTTCTCTTTCTCTCTTTCTTTCGTTTTTAAAATACAACTTTATTCATATTCACAGGGATCCTTAAGTTAAGAAAAGGATTCATGGAAGTGGCATGACACTCCTGAGGTCACGATCTGAAAAGATGAAACTTGAAATTCTATCTGCTAGTCTTTTCCTATATCTTATTTGCATGCAATAGAAAAGTCTCCATAAGCAAAACACTCTATAGTTA